TTGGCAAAAGGCGGGATCAAACCCGGGTCGATCGCGTCAAAAAGCCAACTATACACACTTATCCAACTCACCACTGGAGCTGATGTTTTGCAGCCACTTTTAACTAAATGTAAATATACACCCCGTATTTTTTATTCCATAGTAAGGGCAATTCATACAATACATTTAAACTGAGCTACTTTAATACCATCTCTGAACTTTCTACCAGGACTCTGCTGTTCTTCGGCTGGTTCTTCTCTGTATACGGTGATTGACAGTGTCTCGTCCAGTCAGCGGTGAGTAATCCCAAACCAATGGTGCTGTCTCAAACTATACCTACCTTTTCCGGTTTGTCTTAATTTTAATTTAAATTATTAAATGGATGCCACCTTATTGGTACAATAAAGCCCTCCCTACACCTACCCTAACCCTACTCGATACTTTATTTTCAACTTTTTGATTATTTCCTTAATTTTTATTGAAAATAAATGCCTTTACGATGTGATACGAGATTTGAAAAGGGAGGAAAAAAAAGTTTGGCAAAAGGCGGGATCAAACCCGGGTCGATCGCGTCAAAAAGCCAACTATACACACTTATCCAACTCACCACTGGAGCTGATGTTTTGCAGCCACTTTTAACTAAATGTAAATATACACCCCGTATTTTTTATTCCATAGTAAGGGCAATTCATACAATACATTTAAACTGAGCTACTTTAATACCATCTCTGAACTTTCTACCAGGACTCTGCTGTTCTTCGGCTGGTTCTTCTCTGTATACGGTGATTGACAGATGTCTCGTCCAGTCAGCGGTGAGTAATCCCAAACCAATGGTGCTGTCTCAAACTATACCTACCTCTTCCGGTTTGTCGTTGTGTTTTCTAACATGTTATAATGTTTTCTGAATTATTGTTGTGCTTTCTGAATTGTTCTTTTGTTTTCAGAATTGTGATTTGCTTTGCACGTCTCGGCCACCGTACTTTTATTCACAGTGCCTCAGCCCTTTTCCGGCTGGGGAAAGTTTTGGCATGGAGCACCAGCTTTGACTCGGTTCCATCATTGAGCAGGTTTCCAAGCTGTGGGAGCACCTGGCTCACGCTGCCATAAGACCGCAGCTATTTTTGACACCGCAACAGGCAGCACCTAACTCAGGCTAAATACCCAAGGCAATGGGACGTTCACACACTTGTGTCCCGTCTCTGACTCTCATGTAGTTCATGAATGTGCACCATTGCACTGTTCTCCAAAAGAGCCATCATATGTGACCCTGGGGCACAAAACCAGTCATAAGGGTAATTTTTTTAAAATTGAGATTTATACATCAAGCTGAATAAATAAGCTTTCCATTGATGTATGGTTTGTTAGGATAGCACAATATTTGAAAATCTGGAATCTGAGGGTGCAAAAAAATCTAAATATTGAGAAAATCATCTTTAAAGTTGTTCAAATGAAGTTCTTAGCAATGCATATTACCAATCAAAAATTAAGTTTTGATATATTTATGGTAGGACATTTACTAAATATCTTCATAGAACATGATCTTTACTTAATATCCTAATGATTTTGGCATGAAAGAAAAATTGGTAATTTTTACCCATACGATGTATTTTTGGCTATTGCTACAAATAAATATGTCAACAAAATGAAGCAAGCAATTTGAACTTGACTTTATCTGATATTTAGATTTCTGTTCTGGAAATGTGTGCAAATTAGTGCATATTTAATTAAATAATGCCTCATTTCCATATTTAAACATTTCATTTCAAAGCAACTGTGTTAATGTACTGTTATTAATATCAGCTGGGTAAATGGTGATATCTATGAGTTACCCTATTTAACCCTGTCCAAGAATTAGAAACTTGGATATTTAAATATCCAAATCAGGTAACACTTCAGTTTAGGGACCAATTCTCACTAGTTGTTTATTAGCATGCATATTACTAGTATATTGGCTGTTTATGAGTACTTATAAAGTACATGTTAATGTCTTATTCTGCATGAGCATATTTTAGATCTCTTAACCCGACCCCATACCTAAACTTAACAACTACCTTACTAACTATTAATAAGCAGCAAATTAAGATCTTAATGAAACAAAAACTGGGGTTAATAGTTAGTTAATAGTGCGAATTGACACCCCAATTAAAGGCTGACCCCAAATGAATGTAAAATGCCATTTGTAGGTTGATCCCCACTCAAAACACTTAAGCATCCCAGCCAGAACAACATTGTCTCAACCAGTGGGCTGAGTTTGGGACAAGCCTATCAGTTTGTTCTATTAATAGAGGAGTATTCAGGAAACCTGCTGGAAAAGGTATTATCTGGCAATAGTGCAAATAACACTGGTGTACAAAACACTATGAGCCAATTACTGCAGAGTTGTTTTTACACCGCCTAGAAGCCAATGGAAGTCTTAATGAAGTCAATGTTGAGCTGAGCAAACCTAAGTCAGAAGAAGCACTTCCAAACTCCTACAATTCTGAACAAACCCGAGCCACAGTCTCGGTCATTACGCCTGCGACTTTACAATGCGACGGAACTGTGATTTCACACATTAATTTACTCACTCCGGGCAAGAGTACGATGGCATTGCGTCTAACGCCTCCAGCAATCATGCGAGACACAGAGGATAGATCCCCTCGCTTTGAGCCTGGCATGCTTTCGCTTGGATGTTTTGCTACATTGAACTGATTATATAATCTGCAGCAGTAAAATGGCTAGGGAGGCCACTGGCTGTCTCCTTTCGTCTAGTGTGCCTGTTAGCTAAGACGAGAGCGAACCATAAAAGGGAGAGAGAAGAGAGGCTGGAATGAATGGAGACACAAATAATTACCGTAACAACTTCTCCATCACTTCTGGTCGCAGCACAGGCCATGTTGGCCCGCCGAAGTTCCTTATTGGCCTGCAAGGTGGAGAAATAGTTGACAGCAGCGAACTCGATAAGGGCTGAGAAGACGAACGCGAAGCAGACGGCGATGAACCAGTCCATGGCGGTGGCATAGGAGACCTTGGGTAACGAGTGACGAGCGCTAATGCTCAGCGTGGTCATGGTTAGTACTGTGGTGATGCCTGTCGGGAACACATAAACACAAAATCCAGTTAGCTTGACTGATCTTAGAAAGTCTTGGTAAAGATTTCTGTTCTCAGTCTCAGTTCATTAGGTTAAACTTTGCCTCAGTTCAACACAATTCTAAACATGAATGACAATTAATTCATTCAAAAATGAAAATTCTGTCATTGTTATTATTCACAACTGACACCCAAAATGGTTAAAAGCCTTCCGAATGACGATGAACTCATATTTGGACAATTTTAAATACGTTCACACTATTAGCTAATTATTAACTATGACTTTACCCTAATAAACTCTTAATTTGCTGTTGAGTTAATTTTAGTTAGTGAGGTAGTTGTTAGGTTTAGGTATGGAGTGGATTAAGGGATATGCTCATACAGAATAAGACATTAATATGTGCTTTATAAGTACTAGTGAACAGCCAATATGCATGCTAATAAGCAACTAGTTAACAGTGAGAACTGGTCCCTAAACTTACCTGTTACTGAAAATTGTCTAGGAGCATTTAAAATATTGTGTTAATGCATTTCATCAGACTAATGACACCGTCGAAGGCAACACAAATTTAAACCTTTTTTTTTTCATTATGATGTAAATAATGACCGTGAATTTAACAGTAAAAGACTGTAAAAATGCTACAGTAAAAACCTGTTAAATGGTTAACGGTAAATTCCCCTACTGTATACGGTGAAAAACTGCATTGGACATTGCATGTATTGGACATTAATTTTACGGTAGTATACCGGTTTTGGAAGACCGTATAATTTACAGTGAATAACCGTAAATTGACATTCCCAGAATTCGTTACATTTCAAATTTGATGTTTTTTTGTTGAAATAACTATGTTTTTTCTTAGATTTTTCTTATCAGTTTTGTATATTAGGGTTGTGCGTTACACCTAATGTTGTTAAATTAATGTTTATTGCATTATTTCAGTTTCATGTGTGTTACCGTGATGGTGTTTAGTGTTTGTGTGAATGACGCTGTGCACCTTCTATATATGTTAATATCTAAAAGCTGCTTGTGATGGGCTTTGATTCATCATGTGACTCTCATCACCTCCTGCTTTTGGTTGTTATCAGTGTATTACAAAGGTACAAAACAGATTTCAGTACTTCAATAGGTTGGTATATTAACATTATATCAGTTAATGAAATGACGGTATTTAACTGTAAATTTAAATTAAAACCGTAAAACCTAAAACGTTGCTACCGTATTTTTTACAGTAAAATTCCGGCAACCACAGCTGCTGGTTTTTTACTGTAAATTTTACGGATTTTTTTTTACAGTGTGTTTATGTGTTACTACAAATTCAAATTAAGGCCAGTTAGTCATTTGGTTGCCATTTGCACTTTGTAATAGTAGTTATGAAAGCTGCAGTACGAAAGCTATAGCATTCTTTCTTTCTTCTTTTTCCAAAGCAACTATACAAACTTAGAAACCATCCCAAACCTATCCCACCCCAGTAGGGTTCAAGATGATAGAAATCAAACACAGAATCTAGATACAATATACATAGAATAAAAATAACTGGATAAATATATAAATAATAAAAAAGAAAATACCGCGTTATAAAGAAGATACAACTTTTGAAACCTATATCTTTCTAGTTGCTGTGATATAACATCTCAAGTCCAACAAGAGAAGTGTTTTGTTATGTGGACTCTTAATTTGTAGTTTTGCCTTGTGTTCATGTTTTCCCTGATTGTTTGCACAGGTTCTTAATTAATCTATTACCTCATTTGTATAAACAGCCCTTGTGTTTCTGGTCTGGCCTTGTTCTTGTATGGCTGTCATGTTGGTGGACTCAGTTCTGTCTCTTGGTTCGCATCTTTCCTGTACTCTTGTTGTTGTTGTTGTTGTTACAGTCATTTTATAATGGATCATAGAGACCAATGGGCCGCCGGTGCATTTTGGCTCTATTGAATAGGTCATTTACTCAAAGCTCTGCATGAACTCCCGTGGAATAGCTTCAGGATAAATAATAGGCATTAGTTCAGTAAGGGCTGAAAAGCCTTTGAGATTCAAAGCGATTTGCCCAAAAAGATAACATAAAACATTATTTAATAAGCTTTGTGATCATTTATTTTACATCTAAAGCAACACATCTGTTTTTCAAGTGTTGATTCATTTAATAAAATATATTTATAGAATACTAACCCAAAGGCAATGGATTTTTATTTTATGAGACAAGAATGGCCTTTTTATATTTCATTCAGTTCATTATTGTATGTTTGGAACAATATTGTGTTAGATATTTTTTCCCAATACCCTTTTCTCTCCCCCACATAAATATTTAATTTGCATTATATTTTTGTATGCATACAAATTACACATACAAAACCAATAGAAAAATATGATGCGATTTCACATTGCATCCTCATAGCTGTCTAGATTACTGATTTATTTTAATGCATAAGCTGCTTACTTCAAAATAGTGCCTGTTTAGTACCACTAGGGCTTCTGAATAATAAATAATCATTATACATGAGATAAAACATACATTCCCAAGAACATTCATTCATTCATTCATTCAAATCATTGCTGCCAGAAAAGCCTTCCAATTTCAAATGAACTGGAATTCAATATCAGATGGGCAAGAAAAAATTGTTCATAAGATGTGAAGACTGAGGTACAAGATGACTGTAGTTCTGCTGTTTACCTTACTCAAAGGAGTACAAACACTGAAAACGACCTGATATTTGGGTACGATTAGAAGACATCTTTTCATAACAGACTGAGAAAAATGGTAGAGGCCTGGGTTGCAACTCCCATTATTTTCTGTTCTGACATAGCAAGTCATATGCTGTCACTTTACTTTATACACACACACACACATCTCACATAAGTAAAACAAATCTGGTCTCTCTGAGTTTTTCACCCTTTCTGCGTCACCTTCTCAAAACCTGTTACTTTAAGGGCAAAGGTGTTGCTGATCCAATCTGCCGAGCTCTCCACATCAGGACTGGCCTGCTGTGTTTTTGTTGGCCTGCTGTGGGTGATCTATAGGGCAGCTCATGGTCAATGGGTTGAGCAGATATTAGATACGTTTTCTCACCCAAGAAGAGACTACATTCAAGAGAGGGAGTAGCTGCTATGAGGACAGTAACGATGAAACATACCCAGGCCTTAATAGAGACATCGACATTTTATGGCAAGCACAAAGCTTGATTCTAGATGACTGAGCCCTATAGAGACAAAACAGGAGTCCATTATAAATGGACCTTATGGGAAGCTGAGCTGTCAGGGATCAGGTTTGCTTGTAGCACCCAGTAATAAAATTCACTATAGACAGAGCTGAATAAACTTATAGAAACACTATTAACTCTCATGTAATTCAAAACCCGTGTGATTGTCTGAATGGTGAACAAGGGTTGTCAAGCTCTAAATGACAAAAGGTGCCATAAAAGAATAATAGTCTTTTGATGACATACAATAGCTTTTTGTGAGGGAAAGACTATAATGTGTTTCAGTGTCACTGATAATCATTTCCTTTGCCACAGATCTCATTCACACTTGCATACATTCAAATATGGTGGAAGCATGTGATGCCAGGTTAAACAGTAATGATGCCAAACTTCATTGGTTCTTGTGTGACTCAGAACTGATGTGTCACAACTGAATATGAACATATTCAAATTGCACATGAGATTTGAGAGCAGAGGGGAATATTTTCAGTGAATAACCTTACCATAACCTTAAATCCACCATCGCCGTTCGGCGCATAGGGCGACAACTGTTCTCCATCGGCTTTGATCCGCAGCTGTGACTTCTGCCAGATCTTCCATAAAAGTTCTTCGCCAGGTGATTTTTGGGTGCCCTTGTTTTTGTTTGCCTTTTGCAGGCCGCCAGGATCTTGCCATCTTGAGTATCCGATGGTCAGGAAGGCGTAAGACGTGTCCGGCGAATTGAAAACAGCGTTCGGTGACTGTCACGGAGACGGGCTGAGTGTAGGCGCGACGATATACTTCCATGTTTGTGACATGGTCCAGGTAAGTGATCTTAAGGATGCGTCGCAAACAACGGAGGTGGAAAACATCCAACTTTCGAGCAATGGTTTCAGTCATCTTCCAGGTCTCGCTCGAGTAGGTCGCGGTTGGCACAACGATCGTAGCCAGGAGTCGCAGTTTAATCTGCAGAGAGAGGGAAGCCAAGTTTCAGATTGGACGAAGTCGCTGGAACACGGCAGATGCTTCACCGATGCAGCGGATGACATCTCGTTCTGTATCCCCATTTTAAGAGACGACACTGAAAGTGAAAGTGACGTGACGTGTGGCCAAGTATGGTGACCTATACTCGGAATTTGTGATCTGCATTTAACCCATCCAAGTGCACACACACAGTAGTGAACACACACACACCGTGAACACACACCTGGAGCAGTGGGCAGCCGGTGCCTTGCTCAAGGGTCTCACCTCAGTCGTGGTATTGAGGGTGGAAGAGAGCATTGTACATTCACTTCCCCCACCTACAATCCCTGAGACTCGAACCTTACAAGTCCGACTCTCTATCCATTAGGCCACACTGCCAAGATAAGTGATGTTTGCAACTTCCTCCACTTTTTTCCCATCGATTGTAATTGGTACTCTCGAGTTTACATAACCGATGCGAACGACTTTAGTTTTCTGTCCATTAATTCGGAGTCCAGCGCTGGCCGCTTGATTATCTGGGGCTATAGTGAGGTCTCGCAGGGCAGTTTGAGTCGGGTCGAGAATCACAATATCATCGACAAAGTCGAGATTGGCAAGGAAGAGATTACCAACTGTCCAGGGTATGCTGATGTGTAGACGGTCGATGGAGTGGCGGGTGACGAAGTCGATGACAAGGAGGAATAACATCGGTGAAAGCACACACCCTTGTGGTACGCCAGTTTCAATCGCAAAGAAATCAGTTATCAGTACACAACATTGAGAGCCTTGGTAAAGGTTGTGAAAGATGTCTACAAATCGAGACAATTCCATAAGCCCGGGCTATATCTTCCATAGCGTTTCCCGGTGCACTAAGTCAAAAGCCATGACAAAGTCGATAAAGTTCAGTGAGATCCGTTGTTGGTATTCCAGCGATTGTTTGATCACTTATCGCAGAGCAAAAATCTTCTCAATGCAGGATCTGCCCCTTCGGAAGCCCGCTTGTTGATCTCTAAGGCAGCTCGTCGGAGGCGATTTAGAAGGACAATAGAAAATACCTTTCCAGGTCCCGAGAGAATACCCCGCCAGTTATCACACTTAGAGAGAACTATCTTTTTTGAACAGCTCTTTTCTAAGGTGTTCAATAGAATCTGATAGATGTCCAATAAACAGAGCTGTGTTTCCCAAAAGCATCATTAGCCTAAGCAGATCGCAGAAACCACATGCACCAATGATCTCTACAATTACATTTTTGGGAAATGCAGGAAAGTATAATTGCTTACAGATGGGACATAAAAATATTTTTATGTCTAAAAGCAATGCTCTTGAATATGTCAATGGACTAACTCTGATCTCATAACTGACACTCATATAAATATCAGCATAGCTCATTCACTCTTTTCAACCTCAAACTGATGTCTTTCACAGATAAATATAACTTGAGCTTTCATCTCCACAATCTAATTACAAAAAAAAAAAAACTCTGAATATTCAACTTCAGCTTCAAATCAAAGGTTAATATCTAGACAGATCCTATTTACAAGAGAACATGTTTAACGGATCCTGAGCATGAATGGAAATGTATAAAGCAAAGGCACAAACACAACTCCTAGGGGTCAAATTATGCCTTTAAGGGCAAAAAGTTGGTCCAAATTAACCTCAGTCAATTACATCTCTGAACCCGATGCTCTGGGTTATTTCAGCTTTTAGTGGAAGAAGATTGTGATGTAGAGCAACTACAATGGATATAGACAGTGAGTACCTCTGCCTATTCATCTCTACTCTCTAAAGCAAGTCATTTGTTAGAACTCTCACTGCGTTTCTTTTTTACACTGTATTTAGTTTTCTTTCACACCTCTTTTCACGGAAATAACACTTTCACCTCAGAACTGAGGCAGAACTGAGAAACATGCTGTAGGTTGCTCACCTGAGCGGTGTTTACTTGCAGAAACAACTCCTCTGACATAGTGTATCTCACACCTCGCTTAGAGCGAAGACATTTTTATACTAAAGTTGTGACTTTATCAGCAAAACATGAAAGTATCCCAATTAACCTATTTAAAGAGATAGTTCGCCCAAAAATGAAAATTCTGACATAATTTACTCAGCTTCGGGTTGTTCCAAACCTGCATGAATCTCTTTCTTCTGTTGAACACAAAAGAAGATATTTTGAAGAATGTGTTTTCTGTACTATGGAAGTAAATGGCTAACGTCCAGTGTTTGGTTACACACAATCTTCAAAATATCTTCTTTTGTGTTCAAAAATGACTTGAGGGTGAGGAAATTATGACAGAATGTTCAGTTTTGGGTGTCTGCAGTTCAAAACATCTTTATTATCTCAATCTTTGCATAGATTCCTGGTAGAGTATATAGTGCTCCAAACAAGACACATTTCCTCAGAAAATTCAAATATGTTTCCAAAAACGTTTTACCATCTTACACAAATGGAATATGACAGCTTGCAAGGGCTTTAATTGCTTCATGCTGATGTGTTTTTCATAAAGAGAAAAAACATTAGCTGTAGGTTATAGACTGATACACTCCTAATTGCCCAATAAGCTCATTCTAATGGTCCCATTCAAACACAAGCGGGAGACCACAAAGACAGATGATTCATTCGTGCATATAAATTAATCAGCTGAAAAAGCAATGAGGACAAAGTAGAAGTTAAGAGCCTGATCAGTCTGGTTCATTCAAAGTTAAAATAACAGTAAAAATATATACTTGCATCCACTGAAAAATGTATTCTTCTTCTCATGTTTCTGTTTGGAAATGAGGGTAAACAGAGGAAGGCAAGGAAGAGGATCTCAGTATGTTTGCTTTCATCCTACACCACCACAGAACAAGGGCCAAGGCACTTTAAGTGATTTAGGACCATTGCCAACAGCTGCCAAGAAGAGTGCATTAAGATAATGAAGCAATAGAGATCTACATAAAAAAGCAACAGAAAATGTGCATCATCTCATCAAGTTATAAAAGGCAGCTTAGCAAATTCATCTGGTTTCTTTTCTGCTTATGAAGAAAGACTTTGATGTATATTTATGATGGCACCATTTTTATGAGTGTAAAAGTTATACTTTCAGTATCAGTCTCACAATGCCCAACTCTTTACTTTATTGCACTGTACCAATATATATTCATTTGTTTCAAATCTGGTGTATTTAAAATACAAACACCTTCTGCTTTCTGTGGCTCGGTTCCAGAACTTAGTGAACTTCTTTGCACTCTACAGCCTACATAGACAGCATCCTCATATTCGACATCAGCGGCAATTTATAAAGTTCAGCATTAGCTTGTTCCCTATGACTGAAGAACAAATAGGTAAAGCAGTCTAAATCACCTTAGTAAAAGGATTCAGTAGTGTCAACAGTCTGTTTAAGTGATTTCTATCACTTCGTTCACTGCCTGGATTGTTTTCACTGAGCTTGTTCCTATGCATGCTAGGATTGCATTCTGCATGAGGAATACATTGGAACTTGGCCAAACGAAGGTCATAATGATCTTAGAAGACATATTGTTGCTCCCTACCTTTTAGAACAGCCTTAACGTCAGGAAACTATGATCTATTGTGCCTTAAAATGCTGCAGCTCACTAGGTCTAAAATACAAGGTCTCGTTTTAAATCTGATTTTGTATGCATACTGTAAAATGCCATGCACTTTAGTATTAGCGTATTGGTGCCTTCACAAAGAGCCCCACAGATGAACAATTAAAAAGGAAATAAAATACAGTGGCTTACCAAACACAGTTCTGGCCGGTACTGACTCCTTGTCGATCCAGAAGGAGACCTGTGCTAGGATCACAGTCATAATGCACGGGATGTATGTCTGGATCAAGAAGAAACCCATTTTCCTCTGCAGGTGGAAGTACACCGTCATGACTATGTATTCACCTGTGAGAGATCAGTGGAATAGGCAATCCTAAACTACAAACCATAGACTCTGTAGGAACACATTCAAGACAAAAATCCATTTCAGCACATATTCAACCCATGTGTTCAAGATTTATTGAAATCGTGACGATGTTTTAAGAGGTTTGCATTAAGAATTGGTGCTCGGCAAACCAGAAAACATTTCTCACTGAATCATACGTCTCAAAGCTCATACCTGTGCTTGACTTCAGCCTCTCACTAGACACCGTCTGTCCAATGAGATCATACTGTAGCAGACTGGAACTCTCCTGAGGGACCTCCACTGAAAATAACGGCCCTTTCTTCCATGTGTAAACAATCTCACTCATTGGGTAGGCATCTATACTAGGCACACATTCAAATGGAAGTCAGTCATACCAGTAAATCCATGCAATGTGAATATGTGCCATTTCAAACATACTTACAGCTGCCAAATTTCAAAGGACATGAATGTCCATCCATTGGAAAATTGATCAGCCGCATGGGACACTCAGCATTGATGGTTAACCTGAAAACAAATAAAAGCATCACTTTTCATTTACAGTATGTAAAATAACAGATTTTCTTAAACTCTACAGTGAGCATCAAAAGTCAGTATGGAAAAATCCTTCGTTTTGCATTTGCATTAAAGAGATGAATGGATTCTGTCATCATTTACTCACCCTTGTGTCGTTCCAAACCTGTATGAGTTCTTTCCCCAGTTGATCACAAATAAAGATAACTGAAGAATTTTGGTAACCAAACAATTACTGGTAGCCATTGACTTCCATAGTATGGAATAAAAATACTATGGCTACCAGAAACTGCAACAACCTTCAAAATATAACCTTTTGTGTTCCACAGAAGAAAAAAATACAGGTCTGTAACAACATGAAAGCGAATAAATGATGACTCTCTTTAACGTTGCACTGATTTTAACACAATTTCTTCTACAACGTTTATTATCAGCATGAAAAATGTTAAGCACACGTTGCATATTTACAGTTTACAGTACATAATAGAATCCAATGTATTTTTTTGTGGACTGCTAAGAAAAGAATGTGTGTTATCAAGTGTTTCATTTCTACTGCCATTTTAGAGAGCAAGTGTGCAGTGCATCTTTGACTTGGAGAGCAAATGTTTTGGCACGCAGGCTACCTCATGGTGTACAGAATAGTTCCGTTCTGCATGATGCGGAACAGCTTGTTGGGAGTGGTCATGTTGTGCGAAATAGAACGTTTGCCATTTCGGAAGAAAGTGTCCGGTGTCCAGATCTTGCTGACCATTAGGTTGTTGAGACGCAGGATCTCAATGGGGCCCTCAAATTTCAGCCGGTCGTCTATCCACGTTTGCCGAAAAAACACATCCATTGTGTATTCCTGAGAAATGGTTTATAAGATGTAGTTTCACTACACAAATCAATTTTTCATGTGCAGAGCATGTGCAAAAACAGATATATAAACAGCAACCCACAATACCTTTTTATGAGTGAACACATCAGCAAAGTGTCATCGGGTATGAATCTGATTCAGGCTGGTATACATTCACTCTGGAATGGTATTTCTTTATATTTTTTCCCCCCACTAATCTTGGCGGAGACTTATCTATACGGATTGTCACAGTGGATCACATGGCAAGCGATGTGGCTTTGCACACTGTAGAAAAATAGTGTAGTGTGTAACAGAGGAAAGAAAGCCGAGCCGGGACCCTTACTGTCAGGGATTGTCAACCAGATTAAAATCCCTAAGCTGCTGAAATGACATCCTGCCCAAATGTCAGAATAATGAAGCCAGGGCCGACATGACTAGAGGCAGTGGGCATAGAAAACATGCAATTACGGTGGATTTATGTTTGTATGTATCATATATATATAATTGCTTTACTCACGTACCATTTCCACATCAGAAACAGGACCGAAGCTGGTGACAAAGATGTCCGTTTTAACCTCTGTGACAGGACCTACAGTTTATTTTTTTAAATAAATAAATAACAGTTTAAAAGAAAGAAATAAAAACAATCCTTAGTTTAATTCAAAATATTTTAAACAACTTGCAAAGCGATAAGGCAGTTTCTGGTGAAGAACTTGATGAAGTCTCAGTCTATAATCGTTTAATTTCGGTGAAAGTTGGATTCAACTCCCTAAAGTAAGACTTTAATATGTAAAGTGATTCCAGCACTTGCCTACCTCCAAATCCAGGTCGGAGTCTGTTGTCATATCCATCTAATAATCTGTCCAAAACGCGCGTAATGTTATCCAAATATATCCTCGTCTCGGTTGGCGGATTTGCCAACACCTGACCAACACTGTAAACAGACTCAAAACTTTATTTCCATTTTCACACACGAACAAGCAAAGCAGAAAAATAAACACGCATGCAAAGTCTGATAAAAGCACTTTGCTACTTACCAAGAGAGGAACAAACATGTGCGTACCCAAGCCATGCTTTGCGCGCGCTCTCTATCCAAGTGTACCCTTGTCAACTAGTGTTAGTTGCACGTCCCATAATGTATGTGTGCGAAAGGAGCTGGTGCGGTCTCGAGGCTTGTGTGCGTATATCCTGAAGCTTTTATGCGTGAAGTCTTGCTGGAGTTCCTCAGTGGGGTTGCGCTTCTTCTGACTCACTCTGATGGAAAACTAAAGTGCTTCCAAAGAGGCGGAGTAGATGGAACCAAAGGACTTTGACAATGATCGAATAAAGCATTATGAGAGATTAGAAGAACGAGTCAGAGTTGTCAGGGAATTATCCAAAGGTTTGGGAAAAAGCGCAAATGTTCTGCTGCTTGAGTTCGCGTTATGGTCGGCGTGCTATTTTATCCGTTTAAACGCTCAAACTTTGATCATTAGTTAATGTACATTCAAAAACCGAGAATTTCATGAAACTTTAATCAACATATCTTTACATGCATAATTAAATTTGCAACTACTGATCTTTTTATGCATTGCATAATATTTGCCAATTAATGAGCGTTTTTTAAATAAAACTTATAGGCGACATTTAAATACAAAATAGTCAATTTTAGAGTTTATCTTATGTAATATCAAAACATTAAAATGGATTCTAGATTAGATTTCAGAAGTGTTTGTTTATATTTCATGGCTGTCTTGTTTACAGTTAGGATGAGAGTGTATATTGTCATTATTAGTTTTTGTTGTCTTTGTCATATTGTTACATAATACAATATTGCATTCTCAAGCAGTGAATTAATTGGGGTCACTTACCAGTCAAAAGATTTTCATAAAGAACTGTGTATGAGGCAAAATGTTATGTATGCTGAGATAAAAATGTATGCACTGGCAAATAATGCACAATATTTTTGGATGAAATATGGGTGTATTTATGAAACATGCTTGTTTATTTTGGTTTCGTGATTATTTGATACAAAATCACTGATACAATACAATTTCATGACCAGTATTTATGCAGTATTTATGTACATATGCAATGCAATGGTGATAAAATGTCTCTCTCTATGCCGATGCAGCCTTTTTCACTCACTCAGAGTTGATGGGATCACATCTGCACCAGGATAGCTCTTTCCACAGGAGCTTATACAGATGATGCTGTTTGAATCTTCTTGGCATCACTGTAACAACACTGGGCCATTATCCTAATCCACAGTCATAAGGTTTTAATGCATCAAGCCATCATACATCATTTGATTCATCTCAAATTTGATGGGCCCTTCAGTGTGCATTGTCAGGGAACGACAATTACATGCTGATGTGGGATCAGCGGGATTTAAAATTCTGCCAGTTTCAGAGAAGTTGCCACCGGGTCACTTCTTCTAGTTGTTGTCCACTACATGAAATAAGGTCAGTTCTGTCTATACCAAACCCAGGCATGAAAATCTTGGAGCTTTTAGCTTTTAGAACATATAATGACGGCAGAGGAGCTTTCTGATGTGACCGCTGAACAATGAGATTGCTGGGATGTGAAATACCAGCAGAGGCAGGCCTGTTGAGCACTGAAGCATAGCGAGAACTGGGAGGCAAAAACCAAGCGGGCGGGTCACTTGAGCGTGAACGGGGGTAAAGGTGTGCCGACAGACATGGATACTGTGCTTCTGGTCACAATAACACTAAACCCAAGCAAATGTTCTCTGTTTGGTCAGTAAGGCACTCTGTAAACAACTGTGTAGCATCTGGCACTTACAGAGGTGGACAAATATGAATACGGCAACATCACACCAACTATTAATTCAAATGTTATGCAGACTGACCTTGCATGTGAAATCCACAAAATCAATTTATATGGCCAACTTGAGTTCATAGATTTGTGAATACAGAATTTCTATTAACCATGTTCATTTAGAGGTTTGGTAGAGCTTGCTGGCCGTTCATTACATGCTTAGCATTAAAGTATCAGGTTGATACATCCTTTCCAAATCAAACTAAGCCCAAGCAGAAACAATGTTTCCAAACTGGAGGTTTATCACATTTCAACACAACATTAAAACAAAAAAAACTTTTTTTTTTTAAAGTTAAGCAAATTATGTTAAATCCTCTTTTGACAGGTCACAGAGGCAAACTCTCCAAATTCAAGATAAGGGGGCAAAAAAAGGGCCCCTGTGCAAGCTAAATCTATTATGTCAAGTCACAATTAACCCCTTCAAAACTGTTGTGTGAACATTTTTAGTCCCCATGAGGAAAACAGCTTATAAATCATCCAGAACAGTTTTTTTAAATTGAAATATAATGTGACAGGTAAGGTTGGGGTAAGGGACAAAAAAAAAAAGTTTTTACAGTATAAAAAACATTATGTCTATGGAATGTCCCCATAAAACATGGAAACCAATGTGTGTGTGTGTGTGTGTGGATTTTTCTTATCATTATCTTATCATCATAAACCTCTTCATGTCTGTTTCTCTTACATTGACATTACTTACATCGTATAGTAGAATAACTGCTTGTAGCAGTGTTTTTCGGAGGAAACAAGTAAAAAACATACAGCACCTAAACTATTAAGATTACAATAGATGCAAGCCAATTAAGCTTCCATGAACACAAATTAGTATATATAAAAGGCAATGACAATCTGACTTTCTTACATTCCAAGTATGCTGCATAATTAAATATAATACGACAAATAAAGTCCAAGGCAGGTGTCGGTTTAAAAGTAGGGCTGTTGCCAAGAATAGGTGGCAGTGCCACATTCTTACACACACACACAAACAAAACACACGCAATATTTGTCAAGCATAGGGAGAACAAATGAAACAATAAAGATCCTCAGAAATCTTAATTTTCGGTAATCAAGATCATTTTTCCTCTTGGGCAAAGCTTGCCTTGCGTGTTGTAATATTATTTAGCCAATCCGCTAAGTCATTCCACTTGAGTATGCAGAGCATTCGCAGTTTAAATGGATTGAACGCCCCTGAAAGGTAAAAAAGCAGCTCCTCCTGTCCAGTATTAGCCATGCCTGCCTTATGTGATGCCTTAAAGTTAAAGCTAAGATGCATGGGTTAACGTGAAATGTGAAAATTAAACTCGTCAATTGGCATTGCATTTAGATTTGCTGACGTTGCATCAGTTTTTCTTTACACGTAGTTTCCTCTTGGGCAAAGCTTTCCTTGCGTGTTGTAATATTATTTAGCCAATCCGCTAAGTCATTCCGCTTGAGTATGCAGAGCATTCGCAGTTTAAATGGATTGAACGCCCCTGAAAGGTAAAAAAGCAGCTCCTCCTGTCCAGTATTAGCCATGCCTGCCTTAAGTGATGCCTTAAAGTTAAAGCTAAGATGCATGGGTTAACGTGAAATGTGAAAATTAAACTCGTCAATTGGCATTGCATTTAGATTTGCTGACGTTGCATCAGTTTTTCTTTACACGTAGTTTGCAGTTTTGAGCACTATAATCAGTCATTAATGCAATGTCCAATCAGATGTGTCTTTTTCCTCAACGTGGAGAATGCCGCAGTTGTTTAGTGTGCGTGCTCACTGACTGAATTCTGAATTCTCTCAAACTGTTTCTTTGTAAAGAGCAGAGTACTGATACAATGCAAGTACGAGATTAATTTTACAGTGTAGAGTTTTTGCAAAAGTGCATAACACACAATAGTCTGAAGTCATGGACCGCTTCAGAGTTGTTTGCTCGCTTTCTTTATATACCAATATTTTTTTCTCTCTTTAAATAACCATTTTCCCCCCATGCTATACTATTAAACAACTAATGTGAAGTCTTGATGTTCTGTTACATAAAACAGGATTGCCAAGTTTGTGTAACAAAACTAGCCCATTGGCCAATAGCCCAAAAATAGTCCAATGACCATATTCCAAATATCAAAACTCAAACTATGATATTCCCATACCTAAAATATTATTTTACAGTCACTGTAAAACAAGTTAACAAATTCATGCATGAGTTGAGGAACATGAGGTGACATTTCACCAAGCACAAAACAGTAATCATAATTACAGTATCAAGAGGAATAATCAACAACATTTATTTATTAGTTTGTTGATTTCATGATATTGTCCTGCCCTGTAACAAGTTCCTGTTTTTTTATTTATAATTTACTTCAGATGCAGCTTCTGTGCCACCTTCGCAGTGCAAAGATGGCTTTTGTTGATGTTGAGAAAATGGATTGGTAATAGCCTAGTGCTGTGATTGGGATTCAAAGTATTTGACATAAAAAAACCCTCCACATATACATTTAATAAATATTGCCCATACAAAGGTAAAAACAAATTCGTGGGGCAAAAGTGGCCCCTTAATAGAAAAGGTCATTTCTGACCCTGTAAATCAGACATAATCTTGAATATTAAGCATGTTAACTACTATGTTGTTGTTGTTTTTCTTGTCTTTGTATGTATTTATATATATATTTTGTCTTGGTCATATATTTCAGGTAGTTTACATGATGATTTTAACAAGTTTTCATGTAGGGCCTCACAAGTCATGCCTGTGTTACTTACTTTGAGACATTCATTTCCATGGAAACTGATGGTGACCCTTTAAAGTCCATGAAATAGTTGTTATTTGTTATTAAAGTGGCTACAGTGAAAAACCACTGTCAATTTTAACGTACTGCATCATTTGGCATGGCTCTCAATGCTAATACAATAATAATGCAGAGGGTGAAATTAGTGAGGGTATTTCTGTCTCGTCCTTTACTATGTTATCAACACTGTGTCAGTAATCGCAGTTTCGAGCGTGAATCTTCGCTTTGAAGCGTATATGTTGTTACTCAACAGGATGCTTGCATGAAAAACAAAACTTTTACTAAAATTCTGAATATACAATATTATTTATTATATATAGACAGGACACAAAAGAGCATTCCCTTTATAATCACTACAAAGCTGTCTTTCATTCATTGGGATCTCACAAAGTTTCATTATAATGACCCTTAACCACACCCCTGTCCGTGTCCGTCTGTTGTGAGCTGAGATGCAAGAGATTAGAATACTGGAATTGTGGAATAATGGCGTTCTGTGCTTATCATATGTTAAAATGTTTGGCTTTGAATCCTGCACTATGCATTACACGTTTTTTTTTCTCTTTTTTTTCTAGAACTACTCGGGGAAACAGCTGGCCAGAAGAGAAACCAGTATTTAAGATTACATCAGTTATTTTTTGAATAATCAGCTCTAGGATG